TAGTTACATGCCTACCATAAGTTATTTTGTGCCCTCTTCATAATCAATCTCTTCTTCTATTCCCAACCTCAATCTTCCATTGCAATGATATATCACAATAGTTTTCCCTTTTCTGAATATCATGTAAATGAAATAATACAGTATGTTTGCTCTTGTATCTGGATTTGTTCACTTGACATAATGCTTTTGAGATTCATCCGTATTTCCGCATGGATCAGTAGTTGGTTCCCTTTTTTCCTGTGTAATATTTCATCATATGAATGTACCACAGTTTATTTGTATTTTCAGTTATTGATGGACATTTAGGTAGTTTACAGTTTGGGAGAGTAATGAATCAAACTCCTATACATATTCACATAGTTTTGTATAGACATATGTTTTTACTTGTCTTGGGTAAATCCCTTGGAGTGGGATTGCTAAGTTAAATAACAACTTTAGGTTTAATTTTATAATAAAATGCAAAAACTTTATAAGAAAATCCAGAGTGAATACAACATTTTATGTTCCCACCAGCAATGGATTAGAGTTCTAATTGCTCCACATCCTTGTAAGTATTTGGTGTCATTTTTTTTTAACTTGCAAATTTTTAATTTATTAATTTATTTTTTTTATTTCTGCATATTATGGGGGTACAAATGTTTAGGTTACATATGTTGCCCTGCCCCCCCACCCAGTTAGGCATATAGTGGCATGTCATTGAAGTTTTATTTTGCATTTGCCTATTGATTAATGATGTTGAACATCTATTCATTGTGTATTTGCCATGTGTATCTCTTCTTTGGTGAACTGTTCAAATCATTTGCCTGTTTTTTATTTGGCTGTTTTATTTTTATTACTATTACTGACTTATAGTAGTTCTTACATGCAAGAGTTCTGGATACAAGTCCATTACTAAACATGTATTTTGCAAATCTCTTTTTTCAATTGGTATGTTATGCCTTTTTGTTTTCTTAACATCATTTTTTGAATAGTGAAAGTTTTTAATTTGATGAAATCTAAATCGTCAGGTTTTTTTCTTTTAAGGTTTCTGTTTTTTGTGTATTAGCTAAGAAACATTTGCCTTGCCCAGGTCACAAAGATTTTTTGCACCATTATGCAATGTCCATTTTTATCCCTGCTAATATTTCCTGCCCTGAAATAAACATCATCTGATATTATCATAGCCACCACAGCTTTCTTTTGATTAGGGATTTCATAGTATTAATATTTTTCAATTGTTAACTTTTAAACTATTTGTATCTTTATATTTAAAGTGAATTCCTTATAAACAGCACATGATTGAGTTTTGCGTTGTATTAGTCTACTTTTTAAATGTAGTGTTCAGATGATTTCCTTTTAAGGTAATTATTAATATGGTTAGTTTAAAATCTACCCTCTTATTAGTTTCATTCTGTTTCTGCAAGTTGTTCTTTGTTTCCTCTTTCTCTCTTCCTTTTTCTCTCTGTTGGCTTTCTTTGGATTAACTAATTTTTTATATAATATCATTTAATCTCCTGTTGAATTATTTGTCATTACCTCTTTTTTTAGGAATGGCCATAATGATTTACAGTTTGAAATTTTAACTTATAATCTATGAATAATTTAATTTTAAGTACTATTATAACACCATTTCCCATTTAGTGTAAGAAACTTACAGCAATATACTTCCAATTCTTCCTTTCCATCCTTTGTGATATATTTGTCAAACATTTATTTTTTACCTATTTTATCCATCCCACAATTTATGTTTTTTATTATTGCTATAAGTGGTTGGCTATCTTTTAAAGTGAATGTTTTAAAAATATTTTGAATTTACAGTAGTTTTTATTATTACCTCTGCATTTAAATTTCGTATGTCACTCCAAATTTCTATTTGGTATCATGCTGCTAGAGTACTTCTTTTATATTTCTTGTAGTGCCAGCATGTTGGCAATAAATTCTCTGAACTTTATCTTGTCTGAAAATTTCTTTTTTTTTTTTTTTGAGACAGAGTCCCCAGCTTGAGTGCTGTGGCATCATCGTAGCTCACTGCAACCTCATTTATTGGGCTCAAATGATCCTCCTGCCTCCTGAGTAACTGGGACTTCAGGCACATGCCGTCACTACCCCCAGGAAAGTAATTTTTGTATTTTTAATAGACACAGGGTCTCGCTCTTGATCTAGAACTGACTGGTCTAGAACTCCTGAGCTCAAGCAATCCTCCTGCCTCTGGATCTCAGAGTGCTAGGATTATAGGCATGAGCCACCATGTCCAGCCAAAAATTTCTTTATTTCACCTCCACTTTTAAAAGATATCTTCTCTGGGTATAGAGTTGGAGGTTGAAAGAGTGTTTTTTTTCCTTTCAGTACTCTAACGATGTTAATATACTGGTTTGCATAGCTTCTGAAAAATATTATGGTGTAATCCTTATCTTTGTTCCTCTGTATGTAATGTTTCTTTTTTCCCCAGGTTCTTTCAAGATTTTTCTTTCTGTCTTTGGTTTTCACTACTTTCCCTATGATGTGTCTAGATGTAGTTTAGTTTTGTTTATTTTGATATTTATCATGCTTGACATTCTTTGAGCTTTTAAATTTGTGTCTTGATCTCTTACTTTTTTTTGAGAATTCTTAGCCATTATATTTTCCAATATCTCCTTCCCCATTCCCTCTTTGTTCTCCCTCTAAGATTACAATTGCACATACATTAGACCACTAGATATTGTGCAGACTTTAGATACTCCATTATGTTTATTATTCATTATTTCTTCTCTTTAGGCTTCACTTCAGATAATTTCTATTGTCCTCTTTTCAACTTCAGTATGTCTTCCATCAGCTGTATCCAGTCTAAAAAATGATTCCATCAAGGGAATTCTTCATCTCTGATACCATGTTCCTGGTTTGTTTGTTGATGTTATTTGCTTTTTTTTTTTTTTTTACATTTCCATCTGATTTTTTCTTATAGTTTCAGTGTCTCTGCTAAATTTCCCAACTATTTATGCATATTGTCCATATTTCCTACTAGGCTTCTAACATATTGATTTATTATTTTAAGATCCCTTTCTGATAGTTCAACTATCTGTGTTATATCTAATCTAATTCTGGTTCTATTGATCGTTTTCTCTCTTGACAGTGAGTTGCTTTTTTTGTTTTTTTGTTTTTGTGTGTGTGTGTGTGTGTGTGTGTGTGTGAGTGTGTCCTATAATTTCCTTTATTGAATGTCAGACATTGTATATAGAAGAACAGTAGATCCTGGAGTAAAAAGTATTTATCCTGGAGTAAATATTATCTATGCCTGGAAATGGACATATGTCTTCTGCTATAATGACATTAGTAGGGGACTTTGAGCTAATCTAGTCAAAAACTGTGCTGAGGCCAGGCTCAGTGGCTCACACCTGTAATCCTAGCACTCTGGGAGGCCAAGGTGGGTGTATTGTTCAAGGTCAGGAATTCGAGACCAGCCTGAACAAGAGTGAGACCCCATCCCTACTAAAAAATAGAAAGAAATTATCTGGACAACTAAAAATATATGTAGAAAAAATTAGCCGGGCATGGCTGCACATGCCTGTGGTACCAGCTACTTGGGAGGCTGAGGCAGAAGGATTTCTTGACCTCAGGAGTTTGAGGTTGCTGTGAGCTAGGCTGATGCCACAGCACTCTAGCCCAGGCAACAGAGCCAGATTCTGTCTCACAAAAAAAAAAAAAAAAAAATGTGCTGAGTTTGGGTTTTATCATTGCTAGTTAACCTTGACTTCATTATACATCAGGCTTCATATTCTTCTAGCAGTAGACAGCTGTCACTTTGGGTTCAGAGTGACAGCTGGGTTGTTAAAGGGTTTTTCTCGGTGTTTCTGTTCTCCCATCAGCTTTCAGCCTACCATGAAGGCCTACGCCACATATGGACCTCTCTTCATGCCTTTGTTCCCTCCTTCAGTAGTAGCTGGCCATTGCTTATAATTCAGCATCAGGCTTTGGTTGGGAGTAGGGAGGTTCTCTCTTGTTCTGATTCAGCCTCAGTCCTGTGCTTGGAACTTCTCACCATTCCTGCCCCTTCTACTTATAGCAGCAAAACTTTGCCTTGGATCTGTAGTCAATGGTGAGATTTTCACCTCTCCCCAAGAAGTAGCAGATCTCTATTTGTTATCCATATAGGATTCTGATCCCAAGATGGGTTCCTGCTGCTCCCCTGAGGGTGGGTTTTTATTTGTTTGTTTCCTCCAGTGGATTTTTGTTTGTTTCCTAAGAGACCATTTCTTATCCTTCCCTTCTCCCCCCACACCCTGACCCCCATATAGCACCCCCCTACCCCCACCAGAAGCAAAGAAATTTTGCTTCTACTTTTCATTGGAAGAAATGCTTGAACTTGAAAGAGAAGGTATGCTGCCCTTTTCTTGGCAGATTTTTTCTACATAGGAGAGAAGGATCTAGGAAAGGAGATTTGTGCCCCCCCCCCCAAGCAGCCAATCACCTCCTTCACTCCTAAAACTTTGTAGGGGACTCTCTTCAGTCCTCTTCCTTTCCCTCAATTTTTCTCATGAGCACCTAGCAGAGAACTGTGCAGAAGTGTTTCTGAATGAGTGTAAACTCCTTTTGTGTCTGGGGAATCCATCTAGTCCCAATAAGATTTTTCCAATGTGATGGTTTTTCTAATGTGTTGCTTTGGCTAGGATAGAGTCTCCTGTTATTTAACCAAACACTAATGTATGCACTGATGTAAAGGGAGTTTGCTGATATAAGTAAAATCTATCATCAATTAACTTAGATAAGGAAAATTATCCCAGATGATCTGGGTGGCTGATTCAATATCCATTGGAAAACCTTCAAAGCAAAAGGCCTGGCTTCCCTAGAAAAAAAGAAATTCTTCCTGTGGACAGCCACAGAGGCCTGTGCCTGTGAGTTTCAGCCTGACCATGATCTCCCTTCTAGAAGCCCATCCTTTGGATTTGAGGCTTGCTCAGCCAGCTTCCCCAATCACATAATTCTGATAGATAGATAGAATAAAGTCTATTTCATTACATCTTATTTTCATACATTTGACCATTTTATTTTCACTATTTTTCCCTTTCATCATCTAAGATATTAATTTTTATATAAATGTGGATAAAATGGTTTTGTGTTATAGATATTAACTCATCTACAATATCTATAGAAATGTTCTTTATGTCTTATTTGTATTTCAATTTTGGTATTTATTTTATATACAGAAGTGGCTTCTCCTTTTATTTTTATGAAGTCAGATCTATTAATCATTTCTCTTAGAATTTTTTTTAATTACAAGTTCTTCTACAACTCCAGAGCAAACATATATAATTCTTATCATCCTTCAAGTTTTATGTTTCAAGTTTTTTTAATTATTCCTTTTTCTTTTCTTCCTGGGATTTATTTTGTATGTAATAAGATAGGATTAACTAACCTGATCCTTCTCTAAAAATGCAAAGTAATTGAAAAGGACAGTGAGTTCTAACCTGAGAAACCTCTGTAACAATCTCTTAAGGCCAAGGGTTATACATTTTGTGTGTTCTTTTTTAATGGTAACTAATGTTCTTGTTATTTCAAAAACAATAGCAACTGTTCCTGCAAGCAATACTAAAATATGGAATAATGACATTCTTTATTTTAAAAGGTGTATCAATACGTATCAGATGTTTGTTTGAATTGGTTTACTGAGCTAACACTACTGAAAGATTTAGAGTTTAAGCACAAATGGTATGTTAGTCTGTCCAAATAACCTTTTCAGTTCCCAAGGACTCCAAAACTGATACAGCTAAAAGCAAGAACTTTATTTTGTTGTAACCATGCTTTGGGACTAGGCAATTTCCAGGTATTCTTATGTGTTCAGCAAACACTTGCTCATTCTACCTGTGACCTAAATAAGGCTTAATTCAATTATTTAATAGCATAACAGAACTCCACTCACATGTTCTTAATTTAGCACAGCCACAAATAATTCAACAAACTCACTTAGCTTTTTTTCTGCCTGTCAAAATTCACTACAACAGAGCAAAGTAATAGTGGACACTAAAAATATATAAGCCTAAGAAAATTTTTCAAACTTTAAAAACTAATAATAAATTTGAGGGCAAAGGTTGACTACTATACCAAATGTGGGATTTTTCATAGTTCAGGGCCCTAAATCCCTACAGTTACAGAAATCCCAAATATAACATATTTTCTATTATTAGCATTTTCTATTTCTAATCCTGTTAAATTTCTGCTCTAATAAAAATATGGAGATCTATAAAGCTAGTTTATAAGATCAGATGGTTTTCTTGTGCCAGAATAATTCAAACTCTAACTCCAGGTTTCAGTTAAAAAAAATAAAATAAAATCCATAATCAACTTATCCTAATTTTTATCAAAATGAAAACATTTACTGAGGAAGGGAAGTGACTGAGAAATATGCTGGAATTTCACCTTTGTCACTTTCATTTAAATCAAGTAAAAGAGTGTCCATGTGGCTTTCAAAGGTAGAAATAAAACATGCTAAGAATTTTAGCTGACTTCTTAATGACTGAATTTCTTCTTATATAATATTAACTTTTGAACCATAAATCTACCTTACATGTTAGAATCTTGGCATTAGGGCACTCAGCAAAAGTTTAAATGTTCCCACTCAGAGAATATTCTTTGGTAAAAGATCTGAGGAATGTTAAGTAACCATCAAGTGACCAAGTAAATCATCTGAGGATTCTATCTTGTTCATTTCATAAATATGTACCTTTGCATTTGGTACAACATTCACCGAAACAAAGAGCTAAAGAAACGAATGCATATATTTCATCTAAGAGATAATATAACATGAATTTTTAAGTTAAATAATCTTTCATAAAAGCACTTTATTTGAAATATTTAAATAAAAAACAAATTTATGCATTGCAAATGATAATCTATGTATAGTTCTAAAGGCCTCTTGTGGTTTAAAGCAAAAACAGTAGAATTTAGGAGGATAGACTACAGACTCTATATATTGTCACCAGAATGCATCAGGTATTGTTACTAAATACTTATCTTTCTCGTGCTTGGGCTAAAAGATGACACCACTTTTCCTTGCCAAATTTGAGCATTTGGCTTTAAAATCATGATCCTATTCAGGTCATCAGTGGGAACCATGGCATTGAAAGTACAATCATGTTAAGGTGCATTTTAAGTGGTTTATTTAAATGCTTTTTCTAGTGGGCTAATAATATCTTTTGATTCTAAAAAAAAAAAAAAAAAGAGAGAGAGAGAGTCATTTTAACAGTGAGTTAAACAATACATACAAGTTTCCAGAATTCCGATCCCTCTATAACATCTGAGCATAACAATAATTTTAAATCCCTTTTGACTGCCAAAGTCCAGGCTCCCCTATCACTCTCAAGCTGAAACACTTAGGATAAATTTGAAGGACTCTAATAACTTTAAATCATTGTGTACTGCACATGCTCAGAACTGATCACTTCCAAATTGGAGAGCATATAAAAATTTGAAGAGCTTCAATTATTTTAAATCACCATGTGCAGTGTAGAGAGAGATTTAAAATAGTTGTAGTGCCTCACATTTTTTTAAGCACTTCAGTTTGGAAGTGAGTCAAGCGACATTCCAGCATGGAAGCTCAAGACACATTGGACTAGTTTGACACATCAGAACTAGAAATACATACCTAAAACCCCAGGAAGTAGTTTTGATTTTTGAATTACACATCTTAAAAGGTGGGGGTCTTTGAGAAACCAAATAAACACCCCATTCCAATGAGAACACAGGAAAGTGAGAAATGTGATTATTAGACCAGGCCAGGGAAGAAAGTTCCAAATGATGTTTACAAAGAAAAGAATGGCTTCCCTCAAACTAAAGGCAGCATGGCAGATAAAAGAGACACAAAGCTAAAGAAAGGCAAGAAGTTTCTGAAAGCACAGCAGGCAAATTCATACACTCCTACAGCTGAATTTTAATAGTAGTGGCATTTTCCCTCCCCATGTTTTTCTTTGCCTCAATTTGCCCGGCAAAGCTGATTTTCTGGTTCCCTCTTGGACGAATGATTGTACGGCCTTGTGTTTTTACCAACACTCTTGCGCCACTTTTTCTATATTCTCTTTGTTTGATTGTGGGAGAGGGTGAGCACTTTGACATTTTACACAGCACAGAGTTCACTTTCGACATCCAGATCCTTAAAGAACCCAAAAAATCGTATCAGCACAATCAGGCTATTTAAAGATGGCCTTTCTTCAGCATTTTCCATCTTTTCATCTGTGTAAAAGTTTTGGTTTCTTCAGTTGCCTTTGGGTTTTCACGTATTTTAGGCCTGGCCCTGCCCAGAAAGCAGGATGCTCTTCATAATTCTGCGTCAGTGAAAACATAATGTCCTATAGTTAGTAGGGGGAAAAAAAGGGCAAAGGGAAAAAAAAAAAATGAAAGAAAAAGAGCCCGAAGGCACTGGAATAATTAAGCAAATGCAGTGACAGCTGTGGCAGGTCCTGGGCAGAACTGGCTCCACTGAGCTGAATTAATGACATCAACATCCCAGTATCTCCATTAACACTTGATCATTAATTATTACTCCCTGACAGTAAGAGCCTAAACCTTCTCAGGAGTGGCCTGTTGTAATTCTACCTTACCTGCCCTGAACACTCACACCTCAGCCTAGTTAGTGGGGCTGGTTTTCCTTTCTTGTTTTCTTTAATTCAACTATTATTTAATTTGCTTGGATACACAGTGATAGCCATCAGATTATGCATTCTTCTTTGGATTACTGCGTTTCATGTTCTTTCATCTAAGGCCAGGATGGAACCCCCTGGGATCCGCTGCACTGACTTTTCTCTGTCAGGTTTAGAAGGTTCAGGAGGCACAGTCTACCTGAAGAAATATGCAAGGCAGCAAAGAAGGACATCCTCTTTTGTCCCCTTCCCTAGCCTTATAAGGAGAAGAACTCCTCAGATTTCCTCAGAATTCCATCCCTGGGACTTTGATCAGTGGGCATAACTATCTTTCAGTTCTAAACCTTGTTCAGTTAAATGCTATCCAAAACCATAAACAAGATCAATTTTGTGTATGTAGCATGAAATATTTACCTCACTAGATTCCAATCAAGTCATACCCCTTCTGTTTTACACTGCAAGTTACTCAGATTTTATCTTTCAAAAATTAAAGATTCATTCTACATTTATTTCTAAATGCTGTTGGTGAACCTTTAAAACATACCATTGACCTTGACCATTAAACACACACACACACACACACACACACACATCCCATAGATAATCTATAAAATTGCAGGGGACAAATTAGTAAGTAATACAAAAAAATCAAATGGCCTGTTAATATATAACAATGCCTCAATTACTTCCAACAAAGATTTGTCCTTGCAACATGACAATATGTCTCGCTCACTGGTAAGGAAAAAAAAAATGGGGCATGCAAACACAAGCTCCTATGTTAAGTACTCTCGTCATGGCAGCACACCTTACAGTATCCGACTGATAATTAACTTTTACCAAAGAAGACTTCATACAAATCCAATACATTAATTTGTTGACTGTTCTTTTCCTGCTAGAGACATAATCCAGAGTTCACTTCCTAGTTATAAACATAGACACAACATAACTTAATAGAGTGCCTGTTCCAACTAATGGCCCTGAATGCACTGAGAAAATCCCAGAGCTTCCAGAACTGTATAGTATATTTTCCAGCACACGGAGGGAATCTATGTATCCCTCCCCTTTAACAAGGAAACGATGCTAGAATCAGATTCGACCAAGTTTCCATCAATTCTATTTCCTGTAGGGCATTGATATTGGCGCCAATACGGTAGGCAATGTGTAAATTTTTCTAAGATGATTGTGAGAAATAAATAAATCCGGATTAATGTATATTCCACTCATTAACTATACACCACTTAATTATATCATGAGGGCCCATTGTTTTATTCCTCCCACTTCTTGCTATCCTAATCCTCAAAAGAGCCTTCCTTACTCTTAGGGAAGACATCCCTTCTCCTACCTACATTTACAATATCTCAAAGATTAGTGCTCCATGACGGTCCTCCTCCTTCCTTCGGTCAACCCACAACTCACCAGGCATCTTTGTTAGAAACCATTACTCAGGAATCACCATTACTCAGAAATCACAGCATGTGTAATGAAGCCTTTGATTAATACAAGTTCTTGGTTATCTAGTACACTATGATTATAAAATGGAAAAAAAAAAAGGTGACTTAACTCTGTGGACTTCGGTTCTTTCACCTGTAAAAGCACTAAACAGAAATAAACAGCATGGTTCCTTGCAGGTCCAAAGTTGAGATGTTTGTTGAGAGATGTGTGTTTGCATAGCTAACACCAGAGTGATGAAGGAAGAATCTAGAAGGAATGAAAAAGGAACCAGGACCAAAGTCCTTTTAATAAAAATTAAAGCAAAACATAATACTGAAAATCCTTGATGTATAAGGCAGTTTTAACATGAAGGAAAATATTTCAGTGTTTACTGTTTATGCACCACTGTCTTTTTTGCCTCCGCGGAATTATCATATGGCATCAATCTTGGCCATTAATTGGCCAAGTAGCTCTGTTCCTTAGATTTTCTCACTGTACATATTATGTAGTGATTCCCAGGATTTAGTCTGATTTCACTTCATTTCCGTAATATGCTGACTACTCCTACAATCACCCCAAGCAATGGCCCAAATACTCCCCCCATAGATTCTTCTGCTCTTATACACTCAGATGTGCTTGGTATTTTTTATAGCTGTCTTATAACTCCACTCGTCTTCTCTTTTAATATCACTCTAAATAGATTCAAATATAAATAATATATCTTTTTAAGATCCATTTTTCCTTTTAGCTTTTTTTCATACCAATAACAATGTTGACTTGGATTCTTAAGACATGTTTTAGCAAATTTCCTCTGGCTGGTTATAAAATAAATATTGCCTGTTCCCACTACATACTAATTTTCCCTATCTGATATCATATGTTTGACTTTTTCCATAGTGTTCCTGACTCATAAGTCACACTGAGTCACCCAAGTTCACCTCAGGATCTTCAGCTATAAATACTGGTTTCCAACAATTCCGCCACCATATGCGATCAGTTCATATCTGAGAACACTTAGTAAAAAGGAAATTAATGAACACAAATCATTAATGTGCCTTTTTTCATGATACTTATAACAAAAGGGACCACATTTTCCACGAGTGATCCTTAAAAGAAAAAGTCACTATTAAACACTCCCCTATTATAGTTTCTTATTAAATATTTTCCCGAATTTTCTTCAGCTTATGCCACACTCACAATGACTCCAAAGAATTAATATCTTGCATTTTGATTACCTCTTTTTTTTACATTTAGCAAGAGATTACAGAGCAGATATTGTTTGACATTGAAACTCTGTTAACCATGTCCTCCACTGGAGCATAGTTGTACACATTGTTTCAGAGCTAACATAATGGGGAATATTTTCAAAGAGGGCTGTGTTTCAAGCCAGATGGTTTATCTGCTGAAACAATTCTCCCAGTAGAGAAATAGTGGCTGCACAGTTGCAGTAGTGTTCATAAGCCTAGTGCAGTAGATTCATTTGGCACCCACATTTTGGAGTCTAACAAAAGTGTGGTTTGTGTGAATCTCAGACTCAGACGTTCATGAGTGAAAGGGGTTTTCTGCAACTGCACATTGTGCTTTATGGTAAAGGCAGTAGTGTGTTTATGTCAGAAACACAATATGTAAATATGATATAATTTTTAACTATATATTAATAGCCTCACATATCTGATGCAAAGACACCATACTAAGATAATTGCTTCACAGATTATCATGGTCTGGCTCAAAAAGAGCCAACTTGCCATTATTTGTGTTAGAAACAAATGTATTACCCAAAATTCAGGTCTGCTAAATCTACTCAAATTTAAAAGAACAGAAAAAGACTAGACATCTATTGTATCTTGGGCTTTTTGGCAAAGACCAGTTGTTACCTATGAACAGCTAAGAGTTATACTAAGTGTTCTATGGATGCTGTGATATACGGCTCTACCCACCTTCTCAGATAGGTCTTGATTTAAAATCACGATTAAAATATCTTGATTTTCAAAGGCCCCTTAAAGGAGGGCTTGGTGACTCAGAGTGTGGGCTTCTGTATTTGACCATGATCTCTATTAGTATTGCCATGCACGCTAGGAATCTCACTCTTCTTTGTCATAGAACAGTCACTTCCCTGTATACTAATACTGCCCACATTTTAAAAATAAAACAGAAGAGTTAGAGGATTCCAACAGGGAGTTACCATGCTCTGAAACGTCTCAAGCATGTAGAGCGATGGGAAAATCCCAGAGATTCCAAAGATTAAAAAAAAAAAAAATAGCACATGGGAGATTCTAAATAAAGAAAGTCTTGGGTATGTTGGGGAAGTTGGCATCATTCTTGCAGTTCTTTCCCTCTGAGACTATTTTTGCTTGAGTTAGCGAGCAAGCAAGTATGTACAAGAATGTATGTGCATGGATGTGCCCTTTTGTGTCTAAAGAACTCAGTGAACATTAATGACATTTCACTTTCTGGGAGAATAAGATACCTTTTTTTAAAATATGTTGTTTTCCCCTGAATCATTATTATCCCCAATATATCTCATATCTCATTAATTTTATTTTTAAAAAAAACTATGTTATCCACTTCAAAACTTCAAAATGAAAGAAGAAAGGAATTTTTAAACAAAACGATCCAAATAAGATTAGAACTATGAATCCACAAAGAGAGTTAACAGTTTTTTTCACACATACACACACACACACACACACACACAATAATTTGTGCCCCATAATAACTCTACCACAAGAGAAAAAAATAAAGGTAAAGGCTAGAAACTTAATATCCTAAAATTAACAGGTTAACTGGAAAACTCCAGGACCCTGGAAATATTCACATATTAACTTTTAGGGCTATCTAGTTTGAAAAATCCAGATCAGAAAATTTCAATCCAAAGTAATGTGTATATTGAATCCAAACAAACATTAAAGACATGTGCCAAGATGAAAATCTTTACAGTGCTATTTTCAAAACATTACCTGTGGGCAAATCAAAATGAAAAATATAAATGCCTACTAATTACCTACATCATTTTGGAAGCTACCCAAGAGATTTTGATACTTTATTTCATCCTTCGTCTTATAGACAATGCATCTTGATCTCTTTGAGTGAAGATTTGCTGATATGACATTTAGTACAGGCATCAGATGTGCTCAAACTGGTATTAATAGAATTGTGGGGGGTTTTAAGTGACTGTTTTGGAAGATTTCTCAGTTTTCTGCTTTTTAAAAAATGTTGTGCAGGTTGCTATTTACTGGCATTCAACTTGTGGAACATTGTGGTGTAAGGTATACAAATCCCATTGCATTCACAACAGAACTGTAAACATTTGGTAAAGAATCTAATATGTATTTTTAAACAAACAAAGAAAAATCTTATCACATCAAATATTTGATGCTTCAATTTACTCAATTATAAGTACTCAATTACTCAATTATGAGTAATTAATGCCACATACCTTTAAATACTCCTATGTCCCAAATACCAAGAAAAGTCCCAAGTACTTCAGCACACCATTGGAATGATTTCCTTGTTTGCTATTGATATTTTATGTCACTTTGAATGATTTTACCAAGCAGAAACCAGGATGTATATTTTTCCTACATTTTGGTAGATGGTGGCATCAAAATTATATTATGAAATCCAAGAAAGAGGGGAAAAAATTTCTGAAGGACAAGTTGAATTCAATTCAAATAATTGTAGCATCAAGAGCCAATTGGATGTTTCCAGGAAGTAAACAAATTTAATTATACATAGAGTCAGTACATTTCTATCTTAACCAGATTGTTTCTAATCATTTGCACGGTAACAATACGAAGTATAGTTAAGATTTACAAATATCATATGCAAACTGAGACAGAAAGACTGGTAATCTGGTTAATCAATATATTTGTAAAATAACTTTCCTGACACAATATCTCTCATATTTTTGAAATGGATAAACCAAAAAATTTGTTCAGAAATATTATGACTCTCTGAAGAATATGCCAAGAATCAAGAAACAGATGAAAGCAAGGGGATTCCTCTCAATCCTTTCCACTGGAGTAGCTGTAGGCATCGAAGGTAATGGTGTCTTCTTCCCATCTTACCATTTTTAATGACACTGATTTTGAAAGAAAGAACACCTATCATTGCCACATGAGGACAATGGTTACATGATCCCTTGATTCAGTATATATTTCTCTCTGAAATATATAATTCAATTTATCCCAAATTTGAAAGTGAATTTCTAGGCAAAACAAGGCAGGAAAAAAAAAAGAGTGAGTTACCCAATTCTTTAATGTTAGAGTGATTTTTGGAATGTACTAGTTGTGTGCTCTGCATGAGCTCTGTGGGTTTCTCCCCATACCCAATAAAACAGAAAACCACCAAATTCTCTCTCCTATATCATATCTGTGCTATCCTTCCTGCATAGTAATTCTAGAACCAAGCTGGTTTCCAACAGGGATGTCTCCAGGCTGTACCAGTCTGCCAAGCTCTCTGGTCAGGATCCTTAGACTCTGATTTAACTCTGCACTCTCCAAGCACGCAAAAATATAGCCACAAAGACCTGAGCCATGCTTCTCCATGTGGGCTGAAGTTTCCAGGTGGCCTGTGTATGTTATGATTGTGCCTGGCCTCAAAATAAAAACAAATTGACAATCCCTTACCTCCCCCAAGCCAGTGCCAATTTTTAAATAAAATGTCTAGTGGTGATTTATTGCCAATGCAAACTGCCAGACTGGCAGCCCCGCTTACCTACTAAGCAGACAAATCAGTAAAAGCTATGTCAACCTTGCCAGTTTCTCCATGTATGTTCTAGAAGGCCTTCCAAATTTCATGTCTGTTCAGTTACCAGCTTTCTTATTTGTGCACACTGGAAAACAAAATAACTCCATGACCTAACTGGCTTAAGGAAGTGGTCAGTTCTTCCCTTCGGGACTTCCCGGGATCATCCAAATTCATTTTCCATAGATCACACACTCTTCCATTCAGGTAAGAATTGTTGACCATTTATTACCTGGTGTGAATATCAAGCAGAGATGCAGAACTGAAAGAATTTCTTTCCTGCAGCTAACATGGTCTCAGAGGCATGTTTCCTACCACTTCCCCAGGGAGCAAACACCTGCCTCAGTGATTCTCAAGAGACTGCTCTTCCCTACTCCTCTCCAACTTATAAACAGCACCTCTTGGTTAAGGTATAATTTTTCACACATTAATTTGGGTCATGTTGGGTCGTTATATCCACCCTTATTATTCCCCATCAAGCTGATCTATTCCAGCCAGAATAAAGTACGTGAGATTTTTTG